GAAGTACCGCTTGTGTTGGCACATAGGTAGAATGCAGTTTGTGTGTCTGTCAGTGGCGGGAGAGAGACCATTGGCCAGGTTGTGGATGAAGCAGTCGATCGACCAATGGTGTTGGTTTCGTGGGTTTTCTTGCACAGACGAAGTTGGTGCAAGGAAGATGAGCAATAGCGAACTTCAGCAATCAAACAGCATCATACACATGAGACCAGATAGTCGAGACCTCGAACCAAAAGCAGAATTGCATCACGAGCTTCACCAAATCAGAGCCCACCAAAACCTCATAATTGACAATGCTGGAATAATCTCATCATCATCAACGAAGAACTAATGTTGATATCCTATCTTGCGCTCAGCGCCCAGACTACGAATGGCAGATCCTAATTAGCCTAGAGTACAACGCCTCTGATGACGTCCACAGCTTCCTTAGTACGAGCAGATCTCGGCCAATGCCGCACGCGCCAAGCACCAGGTATGTCTCTCGTATCACTCACAACCTCATTCCCCAACTCACAAATGCCACTTGCACCCAGGACCACCATGCGCCCATCCAGCATACAGCAGCATAGCTCGGCTATGGCTGCCTGCTCCTTCCAGCTCGCCCGTGAGCGCGTGAGCGCTGGCCAGCGATAACGCAGCAGCGATTGCGCACAATGCAGCCAGTGCCCGAATGTCCAATGCGTGAGCAGGCCCTTCCCTATATCGAAGTGGCCTGCTGCTGCGTGCTGTGTTGCGGTAGTGGACCTCGGCACAGAAGCTTCCGGTAGGCCCAGGGAGGTTGAGCCTCTGTCCAAACAAAACAGGCCCAGGGGCTCCAAAAGTTACTCGTGCCCAACTGCTCACAACCTGTGCTGGGTCCATCCTGCGCATGTCGCCCAGGGACCGACTTAGATACATTTGATAAAAGGAAGCCAGGTCCTGGGTGCCTTCAACCAACTGGTGCTGCGCAACTGCCTGAAATTCCCCAGTTGCGGGTTGACCCCAAACATAGGCCTGTAGGCCTCAGTCGGGCCTGCCTTCACTTAGGGCGGCCGACTGTACTAGAAATGGGGCCCTGTAGGGGCGTATTGAGGCCTTGTGCCTCGCATTCCCTCCTCCATACTTCGCTAGTCCTCTGAGAAGTTCAATCTTCAATAATTTGGCGCTTTCCCTTCTGCAGAGACTTTTCATATTGGCTCACAACCTGAGGAGCGGTCTGCATCAGTTCCTCCCTCGTAAACCATCAGTCCTCCTTTGGATCAGTGTGATGTCTGAACCGAACTCTATACTGTAGCTTCGGTTTTGGAGGACATCCTCTGCCTGTTGGTCTAGGAACTGGCATCTCCCGGTGATCAACAATGTCGTCGATGTCGACCTCTCCATCCATGGTTGGGGGCAGCATAGAGCGACGAGAGGGAAACTGATCAGTTTCTCCGAACGGTGCAAGCTTAGAGGCGTGAAAAACAGGGTAAGTTCGTAAGTGACCAGGGATGCGAATAACATATGATGGTCCATCCGGTTCATCCCCAACAACATCGAGGACCTCCCATGGTCCAAAGTACTGCGGCATGAGCTTGCGGGAGATCCCGTGCTCCTGCCCCAGTTATGAGGACTTAACCCAGACTCTCTCTCCTACTTGAAATGTGGATGGACGGCGGTGTTTATTCATAGACTCTATCATCGCCGCCTGTGCCTTGTGCATCTGTTCGACAGCCTGCTGCATCAGTTGCTCGGTAGCAAGCTGTTCGGGCTCACTCCCGTAGCGCTGTGTACAACGTTGTTGTACAGGCTGGCGATGAGAGCAAGTTTCTCATCCCAGTCTACCTGATTTGGCTTGACGTAATGCCTCAGCAGGTGTTGTACAGCGTGGTTCAACTGCTCTGCCTGCCTATTCGCCTCTGGGTGATTGCCTGATGTCATTTGCAACTGCGTGCCCTGTTCTGCAGCTGCGACTTTCCACAGTTCACTCGTGAATCGCACATCCCGGTCGCTTATTATAGACGTAGGTAGTCTGAAATTTCTGACCCAGTTCTCTTTGAACAGCCTGATCACATACTCAATTTTAGTTCTTGCAGGCATTACGACTAACCTAGCGTACTTACTAAACTTATCCACGATGACGTAGAGGTAGCGCATCCCACTCTTGGTGCCCAAGAGGGGCCTATGTACGGGGCTTTAGAAGCCCAAGAGGGGCCTATGTACGGGGCTTGTCTCTCTGGCATCTCCCATCATCGTGGGCCACCAGAACCGCTGCAGCAGATTGGCTGCAGTCTTCTTGAAGCCAAAATGTTCGGTGGCATCATGACACTCACCTAAAAATAAACTACGCAAAGACTCCCTATTGGGAACACACAAACGTTTATTTCCGGCCTTCTCAAGGAACAGCAAGCCGTTGACCAACTCAAACTCGACAGAAGTTACCTTGTCCTTCGCCTCGAGTCTGCGAATGATCTCAGACTTGAACGGGTCCTAGCGATAAGCTTCCACCATAGAACAAGTGACATCGTCCGAAAGCTCGAACTCAGTGATCAGCGCACCAGAGAAGTCTGGCCTACGCGGCAACGCATCTACAACCTTGTTGTACTCACCTTTGATGTACTGGGGCTCGAAGTCATACTGCCCAATGACTTCGATCCAGCGTTTCAGTGCATTGGAGAGCATAGGCTGGGTCCTCACCCACTTCAGGGTCTGATGATCAGTCCTGACGTAGAAGAACCTCCCAAGGAGATAGTGCCTCCAATGGGTGAGCGCCTTGTGGACCGCATATAGCTCCTTCTCATAGGTGGATGTAGCCAACTTCTGAGAGGGCATCTTTTTGGAAATGTACTCTACTGACCTCAACTTCTTCCCCTCCTGCTGCACAAGTACGGCGCCTATGCCATATTGGCTGGCATCCGTAGTTACTACAGAAGGTTTATCAGGATCAGGAAGTTTCAAGACCTCATGGTGTGTCAACGCATTCTTCATATGTTCGAAGGCAGCCTCACACCTGTCTGTCCACTCCATGGGGTGTCAAGGCGAGTCAGGTCCGTCAAAGGGGTGGCCACTATGCTGTGATTCTGAACAAAATTGCGGTGGTAGCCTGTCATCCCTAGGAAGGACCTCATTTCAGTCACAGACTAAGGACGCGGCCAGTCACGAATGCTGGCCACCTTCTCGTCATCGGGCTTCAAACCCTCCTCGGAAATCTCATGACCCAAGTACAAGATACGGGTGCGGCCAAACTCACACTTCTCCCCGTCTATCTTGAACTTGTGTTGTCGAAGGAGTCTGAGGACTTTGTCTAAGTTCGCTACATGCTCCTCGACAGTCCTAAAAATAAGTATGTTATCAAGGTACACGATGACAAACTTATCCAAGTAGTCATGAAATATCTGATTCATAGCGTGCTGAAAGGTGCCAGGAGCATTGCATAGGCCGAAAGGCATCACCACAAACTCGTACAAACCGTACCTGGTCTGAAATGCGGTTTTGTGTTGATCCTCGGGCCGGATTGCAATCTGATGGTACCCGGACTTCAGATCTATGTTACTGAAGTACCGACACCCTTGCACCTTATCTAGCAAGTTGTCGATGCGCGGTGGGGGCTTTCTGTTCTTGACAGTGATGGCATTGAGGCCCCTATAGTCAATGCACATGCTAAGTGTTCCTTCTTCGGTACGAATAGGACTGGAGATCCATAAGGAGAAACCCTCGGCTGGATCCAACCCTTCTCTACGAGTTCCTTGAGTTGTCGGCGAAGCTCATCTAGCTCGCCTGGAGACATTCTATAGATCCTACCCTTCAGGATACTAAACCCTGGGATAGTCTCTATTGCGTGGACGACCTCCCTCTCAACAACCCCTGTAGGCTTTTCAAATAGATCAAGGTACTTGGCAACTACTCTCTCTATCTCCGGAGAAATTTTCACCGGCTTGCCTGCTGCAGAGACATAGACTAGATACATACCCTCCTCCTAATTTTGCTTATAATAGTTATAGAATGCGGTCGCACACATGCATCCGTGGGACTTGATTAGACTACTAGCTTTAAACTTACGTAATCTGGCGGTCCACCCACCGGGCAAAGTGTGTTTGACCATTATTCGGTCCCAGTCAAACTGGGGCTGTGCCACGGAGAGGTAGTACATACCTAACAAGACATCCATAGGGAGATCATCGCTCACTAGGAATGAGACACGATGTCTCAATTCCCCTCCCGCGTACGGGAAACAACACTCAACATCTTGGAGGTAGTCGTTGACTACCATGTGCTGTTTGTTGGCACAGGTCGACTCCACAGGTCGACTCAGGCGCTGCACTCACCCCTGTAAGCGCAGCCTCTCAACGCACGCGCGACTAATGAAGTTCCTAGTCGAGCAAGTGTCGTAATAGGCCCCGACCTTGGGGCCGCCCGCTTGATCACTCACGAACGGGTAAGGTAGATATCACGGTCCTCCAGCGAGGACAGGAAAACGTACACCAATATAGCCCCTATCTTCAACGCAACTTGGGCTCACCCGATTACTCATCAGATAAGAAGGGAGAGAAAGTACCTTCATCCAGAATATTGAAAGATACATCGAATACTGTGTGCCTCCTGTCCGCAGCTAGTCTAACCAAACTACTTACCATGAGGGTAATGAGAATGAATGTTTAGCGAGAACTTGGGAAGATGCATCTTCACCCCCCCCCCCCCCCCCCCCCCCCCCCCCCCCCCCCCCCCCCCCCCCCCCCCCCAACAACTGCCGCGTGGTTCTTTCAAGCCACTCTGTTGTTGCTTCTATGTGCTTTCTTCTGATTGCTTGTCTAGCCACACTTTCTTCTCTATGCATTTACGCATACTTACCTCTTCTCTCTCACAAAAAAATACTAGTAAATACTGAATGAATCTATTGTACAATCATGACCAGGTCCGTTGTGTGCATGGTACTTGTGAATACACGTAATTGTGTAAGTGAGTCTTCTTGTGAATGTGTAGGCGGGAAAATGCTAGTGCAGGTGAGTGTACGCAATGTTAAAATCATCTACCCACTTTTCACAATATCTCGCCAATAATCATGCAGAGGCAATTGCGCAGTGGATTAAAAACCACCTACTGTCAGACACGTGGCATGACTTGATACTCGGTACTTGAATAATAAAATTCTGAGTCAACCCCATGGACACTGAAACAGGTGCCTTCTCCTATGAAGTGTCCAAATAACCGCTTTGACATCATGAACAATGGGAGGCAAATTTGTGGGACGAGACTATGCCATCTTACCGCAATCTTTCTCTTGAACAGTTCATCCCATGCGCCACCTAACAGCGGACACGTGGCATTTAGGCAGTGAACTGCACGGTCCCAAGCCCATGAGTATCCAACACAAAAGATCGTCTTCTGCCTTTCCCTGTCATGGGCCTTGACCAAAGGAAGAACGAAAGTCATGGCCTACTTCTCTCTCCCGCATTTCCCCTTGCTGGAACGAATGTAATGGTAAATGAATGTGATGCAGAAGGTGGGCCAGATCTATTAAACATGGTATTGAACTATTTCCTTGTCTTCATGGCTTGGTTGCACGGGAGGGCTTAAATCCACACACAGCAGTGAGTGAACCTTTCTACGAAGAGCAGGCTATGTTAATATTTTCAATGTTGTTTGGGTAATCAATCTCCCCTTTTGCATTATATACTCGTCCTTCTTGTATTCAATTACACTCTTTTGTAGACTAGCGGACTTCCATCTACTCAACAAATGTTCAAAATAAATAAATATTAAATGATTAATAATCAATACGAGTACCAGTGTTGGGATTGGAATCACTCAATATGGTCTCTCTGTCGTCCCATTACAAATTAAAAATGGACAGATGAAATCCATTGCTTCCATTACTTTCACTCACTCTCTGAGTGCTCCCCTGCTCAGACTCGTAAACTTGCAGTCGGCGAGGGAAGTTCCCGGTTAGTTAATGTTTGATAGCACCCTTAAAGACGAGATTGAAGGGAGATCAAAAGACAAGCAAGACAGACAGCTACCGACAGTCTGATGCCAGATCACCATCTCATTTGCAAGCTGGGAGCTCATAATTACCTGACTAGACAGTGATCAGCGAGAAGGGAGAGCGCATGTATTCTGGTTTCCAAGAGACAAGAGCCTGTTTGCCTGATTACCACTTGATCTGTAGGCCAGTCTAATCATCGTCGTCTAGTTGCTCACAAAATCAGTGATCTAATTAGTCTGGTTGACTGCAGCAACTAGTGGGTTGACTGCTTAAAGAATAATGGACACCAAGCGACCAAATACAGTCTGGTGGCCTGTGACCCAATTAGCTGCAGTCTGGCAATCTATAACTTAATTAGCTGCAACACGCTATTTTTTATTTCTTTTTTACCTGTTCACTAATTGTTGCAGATTAGACCTTTCTCACCCATTCCTCTCCCTCTCTCTCTTCTCCCGTACCACGCCAGATCAGTGTGCCCTCCTCTCTGTCCCTGCTTCTCTTTCGCATAACCATGACCTCCCCCTTTCTATGGATGCCTTACCGTGAAGGCCTCATGCGTTGTCGTTCATAGACCTCACTACTATCCTGGCTGGTCTTTTCCACGCTCTCCACTGGCAGCACCGCACATGTTTGAGTCTTGGAATGTGTCATAAGTCAAAAACCCTAGTTCTTGTAACTGCCAGGTGGCAGTCCCCCTGGGCCGACAGCCGGCTCGCGCGTCGTTGCCCACAGCCGCGAGCGTCTATGGAATACGGGGAGGGTACCGCCTAGGCAAACCATGCCCAGCGGACCAGCGGTACTACCGCATGCACATATTCTAGGTCCGCTAGTCCCGCTGGTGGAGCTGGTTTTCAGACCCTGTAGCGCAAATGCAGGCCTGACGGACACCCTCTGGTCCAGATCCAGGTCAGGCCAATGTGGGTGTCGTCGCCACGTAGGCCAGCTTCTTTATCATCATTATTTTTATTTTTACTTTATTGTCGAGGCTAATTGAGTTCTTCGCAAAAAAAAGAAGAATAAAATTTCAACCATAGGGTCTCGGCAAAAAATAAGAATAAAATTTCAACCGTAGGGTCTCGGCAGGATTGGCCACGGAAAGGTCAGGGCTAATATGTTTGATAAACCGTAGCGCAGCCTCTTGCCGTTAAGAAAAGTGGACTGAACAACAAACTGTGGTTCACTCAAATTGGGCTAGTGGGGTACCTCTTACCCTGTAGGTCAGAACGTCAAACCCGTCTGGCAAGTTTGACACACCAAGGAGGGCCAGAATGTTGGGCCCTCTGACATCGGCTATGGCCGCTAGCGCCCCTCACCTCTCAGCGCCCGCGTGTGTCCGAGCTAGCCAGCACACATGCAAATACTCGCGCAGCGTCGCAGCAGTGTGTTCGCATTGCTTGCCTAGGTCAGAATGCCAATCCCTGCCTACTTTGCTTCCTATATGGAAGTGGCAGCTGCTGCTGGACTCCCTAGGCCTGGTCGTGGAAGATTCTAGTAGCTTCTGGTCGGGCCCCAGTGCCTGCGGCCAGGTTCATTCGACAGTTGAGGGCCTGGGCCCTTTTTAGTTGGGCAGACCCATAATTTTCCAGGCTCCAAATGTTTGCTGCATTTTCACTGGCCCACTGGGTAGATACGAAGACAATGCTGCTTTTCTCGTTGGCCCGTGGCCACTTCGTGATGTGTCGGCCTCAGAATGCATGTGCCCAGGGCTCACCACGTGGGCCCTGGCGCAGTTGGTTTTTTTGGAAGAGCCCAGGGTAAGGCTCAGGTTGCACTTCAACCAACTGTCTGAGACCCGCATTGGAAAATGCTGAGATAAGGGCCTTTCGTGATTATTCAGGCCCGCCTTCACTTAGGGCGGGCACGAGACTTGCTGGGGCCACAGTCAAAACATATGCATGTTGTCTAGGCGCCCCCGAGGACACATTCCTCACATTCAATCCCCCTTAGCTTCAAAAGTCAGCTGAGATGCTTCTATGCAGGTGCCTTCCCTTTCAATCGTCTCTCATAGTCTGATAGAATCTAAGGTGTTGTCTCAATTAGTTCCTCTCTGGTGAACCATCGGTCTTCTTTTGAATCCGTTTGATCCCTGAATCTGACCCTATATTCCCTTTTGGGTTTCGGCGGTCTTCCTCTGCCCACAGGCTTAGGAACAGGCACGTCTCTGTGCTCCAAAATGTCGTTGAGGTCCACGTGGCTGTCCATGGTTGGGGGCAGCATAGATCTCCTTGATGGGAACTGTTGTGTCTTAGCGAAAGGTGCAAGCTTCGAGGCGTGAAACACAGGGTCAGTGCATAGGTGCCCAGGGATTCGAATCACGTACGAGGGACCATCCTCTTCACTACCCACAATATCCAAGACTTCCTAAGGACCGAAGTAGTGAGGCATTAGTTTCCTAGAGATGTCGAATTCCTGCCCCAACTCACTAGACTTAACCCAGACACGTTCCCCTACCTGAAATGTGGACTGCCATGTTTGTTCTCAGAAGCAGTGATTGCTTCTTGAGATTTATTGATGTGTTTGACAACTTGCTGCAGCAACTTCTCATACTGGACTCCAAATTCAATGGTTCGAGGAGTTGCAGCAGATCGGTTTTCAAGCAAGAGGAAGTCTAGAGCAGATCTAGGCTTCCACCTCAGGTGCAGCTGATTTGGACTGATACCGGTGGTGCCGTGCACAACATTGTTGTACAGGCTGGGGATGAGACGTAACTTCTCATCCCAGTCATCTTGGTTCGGCGTTATGTAATGCCTCAGCACATGCTGCACCACTCGGTTCATCTGTTCAGCTTGCCCGTTGGCTTCGGGATGATTCCCAGAAGTCACATGGAGTTGGCTGCCCATCTGTTCTGTAGCCTTCTTCCAGATTTCACTTGTGAAATAGACATCTCTGTCAGTAACGATAGTCTTTGGCAGTCCAAAGTCACGCACCCAGTTATCCATGAATAACTTGATGACGTGCTCAGACCTTGCGGCCTCTTGCATGGCGATTAGTCTAGTGAACTTAGTTAACCTATCAACTAAAACGAAAATATGCCTCTTGCCACTCTTGCTGGTCACGAGGGTATCCATGAAATCCATAGAATTACTCTGTCCCGGACCAGCAGGAATGGGTAGGGGCTTGAGTAACCCAAGTGCAGCTTGAGTCTGCGGCTTGTCCCACTGACAGACTTGACAAGTCTAAACGTACTACTTGGTTTCGTCTAGCGTACCAGGCCACCAAAATCGTTGTACCAGATTTGCACTAGCCAAAATGTCCCATTGCATCATGACATTCTCCTAAAAATAAACTACGCAAAATCGCACTAATTGGAATAACTAATTTCTTAAACCCTGCCTTCTCAAGGAAAAGTAACCCATCCACTATCACAAACTCGTCAGATGTGGCCTTGCCTTGGGCCACATCTTCCTTGTAGGCTTCCACCATCGATCGCACCATCGATCGAGTTACGTCTTCAGATAAGCCAAACTCAGTTATTGTACTCTCCCTTCACATAGTCTAGCTTGAAGTCATGCTGATCTATGACCTCAATCCAAGGTTTGAGTGCATTAGAGAGAACAGGTTGTGTCTTGATCCACTTGAGTGTTTGATGGTCAGTCCTCAAATAGAAGATCCTTTCCAACAGATAGTGTCCTCAGCGGACTAGTGCTTTGTAGAGGGCGTAGAGTTCCCTTTCATAGGTGGACTTTGCCAATTTCTTTTTTCTCATGTACTCGACCGACATCAACTTCTTCCCTTCCTACGCCAATGCCATATTGGTTTGCGTTAGTGGTCACAACGAATGGCCTATCATGATCGGGAACCATGAGAACCTCATGGTGCGTGAGAGCATGCTTTACACTCGTCAGTCCATTCCCATGGTGTGTCAAGACGAGTTAGATCAGTCAAAGGGCTGGTCACCGTACTATAGCTCTTTACAAAGTTGCGGTAGTAGCCAATCATCCCTAAGAATGATTTGACCTTGGTCATAGGCTGAGGTCGTCGCCAATCACGAATGCTAGCCACCTTGGCATCTTCAGGCGTTATCCCATCTGCAGATATCTCATGACCCAAGTACATGGTTTTTGTGCGATTTAACTCGCATTTCTCTTAGTTAATCTTATACTTGTGTTGTCGAAGAAGTGAGAGTACAATCTCTAGATATTGAGCATGCTCCTCAATTGTTTTACAAAAGATAAGTATGTCGTCGAGGTACACGACGATGAATTTATCCAAGTAGTCATGAAATATCCTATTCATGGTGTGCTGGAATGTACCCAGCGCATTGCGAAGGCCAAAGGGCATCACCACAAACTTGTATAGACTGTACCTGGTCTAAAATGTGGTTGTGTGCTGGTCCCTTGGTCTAATGGCAATTTGATGGTAGCTGAATTTCAAGTCTATCTTGGTAAAGTACTTACAGCCCTGCACCCTATCCAAAAGGTCATCGATGCGCGGTAGAGGCTTTGCGTTCTTCACAGTGTCCTCTATAATCAATGCGCATCCTCAGTGTCCCCCCCTTCTTCGAGACAAATAGGACTGGTAAGCCGAAGCGGGAGGTACTAGGCCGTATCCAACCCTATTTGTGAGTTCTTTCAGTTATCGCCTTAGTTCGTCCAACTCGGTCGGTGCCATCCTATAGATCCTTCCTTTGGGTATCTTGCTCCCCGGAACTATCTCTATGGCATGGACTGCCTTCCGTTCTACAACTAGTGAAGGCTCCTCGAACAGATCAGGGTACTTTGCGACAACATTTTCTATCTTTGGGGGTGTTTTAATGGCCTCCGCTTTTTCTAAGACAAAAACTAAGTACATAACCTCCTCTTGGTTCTGTTTATTTTTATAATAATTATAAAAGGCTGCTGCACACATACAACCGTAAGTGTCTATCGGATTGCTAGCCTTATACTTCGCAAGTTTGACTGTCCTCCCTTCCGGTAGTACATGCTTAAGTTCCTTTCGGTCCCAGTCAAACTGCGGCTTGGAAACCTCAAGGAAGTACATACCCAACAACATGTCAAAAGGCAAGTCGTCGCTGACTAGGAATGAAATCTTATGATTCAGTTCTCGACCTCCGTAGTAGAAGGTGCAGACTACATCCTTGACGTAGTCATCTACAACCATGCGCTCTTTGTTGACTAAGGTAGAGGCTACATATCTACGTAAGCGCTGCACGCGGTCCCCTAGGCGCAGTCTCTCAACGCAGTTGCGACTTATGAAGTTTTGCGTGGAGCCAATGTCTACGAAGGCACCACATTTGCATCCACCTACACTGACTTCCACAACGAAATGCTACCCTCTAGGACCTCTACTTAGCGCCACCCAAGACTCGCGAGGGTCCCTTGTTTTGCAAGCCTTTTAAGGCCTCAGACACGTCCAACGAACAGAGTATCGTCGGGTTATGATGCGTCTGCGGTGTGGCTAAAGAGTCAATAGCTTCGACCAACTCTTGAAGTGGGGAGGTTACATCATCCACTTCATCAAGAGTAGAAGCAGCTACTTCTACTAGCCCGATGTGTTTCCCGAGTTGGAGTTCGTAGAAGTCCCACCATTGCCAAGGGTGTTAAGCTGCTAAGAACTAGCAAGGAGGAAGGCTGGGAGACCATTCGGTGTGACACCATCAGGGAATTCGTGATATTTGATTTGCGGCATACCTATACCTCTGCTAGTGGTCGGCTGTTGCAAAAGTGAATTGGTATATCGATGGGTAAGCCCTCTAGTCCGGCCATTGCGTGCCTGTTGTGTGCCTTTTCTGAGTTTTCCTTCTTATCTTCCTTGGGAAAGGACAGGAGTCTGGTGCATGGTATTTGGTTAATCGATGATGTTTCCMTGATGGTGAGGTATAAGAAGGATGATAAGGCCTCCTTGGATAAGGCCCGTGGCATCTTGAAGGTTTTCGCTAACTCCTATGACTCCAACCTCACTTTGGAGTGTACTAGCACTTCTTCGAGCTGGGATTTCCTGGGATGTGTGGTTAGAGTTTTTGACTGACCCGTTGGGGTGAGATGTGCTGCGGTGTGGGGTGAGAATTTATAGACGCTAACGCGCCTGAGGGTAACCGCAACCTGACGATTGCCTCATGTTTTTGAATCAATTGAGCAAAAGTCCCTGCCGCCCGAACAAATTTGGCACCTTGGCCTGGATTCCATTCAATATTATGAATCAAAGTACCCACTGGTATATATGCCAATTGTACACAATTTCCCAAAGCTTGCTCCAGGTTCCCAAAGCTATGCACATTATTCATGACTGGGCTACCTGTTTTTAATTTATCACAAGCTAATATATAAGTAAATCTTGTAGATGCTGTTTGATGTTGGGGTTGGGTAGATCCAGAGTACCAGCATACTAGGGCAATCCAAGAGGAACGATTTGGATCATATTCGATTCTTTCTACCTTACCCGTCAACGAAGTGTTATGTTGAAAGTCAATTCTTCGCTGCAATCGTTTTGCGTGGGAGCCTCTATGGAAAAGGGTGATACGACCTGTGGAATTTCGTCCAGCAGACGCCTTTTTGAAACTAAAAGTTAATTGTTTGAGTGGTTTTCCTTTCCAGCAACTGTTTTTCATACAGCTTCGCTCCCGAATCATTTTTGTGTTTTTTTGCTTTGCTTTTCCAAATGATTCTTGAGAAAGGTGTGTGTTTCCAAAACCTGCAGGATGATTGTTCTTATGTGAGCAAACAATAGAAGTTGGCGGTGGTGGGATCTCTGTTGCATCAGGCCTTGAGATTTACGTCCATCCCAGGAGCCGAAGTGGCCTTTTTGTTTGCCCTTAAGGTGGAATTGCGCCCGAGGGGTTTCAAGGACGAAATTTTTGACGGATCTTTGGTTAGTTTCTCTTCGAAGTTTGGAGGAGTTTGGGATGATTGGGTCGAAGTTTTAACTGGATGGGACTATTTTCTCCCGAATAAGGGTAATTCTTTCTTGGGGCCTGTTGGCCCGTATGGGCGGGGGGCCCACGGGGTGTAGTATAGTTGTGTGTTGTCGATTTAAGGTGGGTCACAGGGCTGTTCGCGGGCCTTTTGTTTCTGGCTTCTTGGAGTTGAACTCTGAGCCCTTTAGTCAGTCTTCTGGCCCTGTTGGGACTCTGTGTGTTGAAAGGGTGATGCTTTTGGTCCTCGTCTTCCCCTGGTCTGCGTTTGTATAAAATAGCACCTGCTTCGGTTGAAGGTCACTCATCGTGATCGTGACGTAGAGACGTAGAACCCTGATGAGTCCGGTCCCGGCGGCCGGACGAAACATGTCGGGTCACCCGCCGGAGAACCTGGGTCTCGGTTTTGACGATTGGAGCTGTTGCTCATTTGCGTCCAGGTTCCTATGACTGCGCTTTGACGTTTTTAATTTTCGCCAGGTCACGTTCGGGAGTATTCGACATGTTGCAGTGTGCTTCTTCTCCTTTTCTTCTGCGTCGAGCTCTCTCTCTCTCTCTCTC